TTCTGGCAATCTGCAACCCCCCCTTAGTCTCAAAGGTGCTACAAGATTCCTTTGCATATTGCTGAATTGTGGTTTGTTGAATCTAATAGAGTTGATGGTGCAATTCTATGCATATTTATATAGATGCAAGTCTAACGTATTTCAGCAGGACTTAATTCCACTTAGGAAGTCCCACCTACTTTAGCATGTGTATAGTACTCCACCCTGAGAGTGTCAGAACCAACTATGGGCAACTGGTGCTTTCATGTCAATGGAGTAGAAAATATACTGAGAAGTTTGCTTTGAACCCCATCCACAAAATAGGTCCAGTAGCCTAAGTCATTTAAAATTTGGACTAAAACCCAGAGTGGATTCACTGACATGGAAGCAACTGAAGTTAGCCTTACCACATTCACTATGAGGTGGTTGCCTAGGGATAGATATTTCATGAGACAGAATGTGAGTACCTTTAAAGAGAGCACATTGTTGTTTAATTATCATTTTCTTTTATTATTTATTGATTTATTATTTATTGAACTCCCATCCTTTTCTAAGACTGCATAGAATGTGGGATTTGTAGTACAAGACCCAAGCTACACTGCACAATTAATGCAGTTTGGCACTGCTTTAACTGCCATGGCTTAATGATATGGAATTCTGGGATTGGTAGTTTTGTGAGAAATTTAGCCTTCTCTGCCAGAGAGCTGTGGTGCCACAACAAACTACAAATCTAAGGATTCCATAGCATTGAACCATAACAGTTAAAGCGGTGTCAAACTGCATTATTTCTGCAGTGCAGATGCAGCCCAAGGAATCTGGAAAGTGCAGAGTTGAAGACAGCAGTTTAAAACTTAAAAAGAATACTACTTTTGAAGGGACCAGTTTTAAATGTGTCCACAAGGGAGCAACATTGACATCTTAACATACAATTCTCTGCAACTCCATTCAATTAATAAATTCAATTAATAAATTAATTAAGAATTAACACATTGAACTAAATTCTGTCCCACCCAATGACAACATATTAATGGCTCAAATTCTAATATTCAGTATAAAGAAATCAATATTTAAATCTAACATTTCAGCTCTTCTTGAACTAATGGATTTAATTAATAAGAAAAGAAGCTAGATGTCTGGTTGTCAAGAATACTCTAATAGTAGGTTCCCTGAACTGAGAGGTGGATGAACTTAATATACATGAGGTCCCTTCCAGCTCTGTGATTTTGTGGTCGTAGATCCTTTTATGGTTCCACCGTTTCATGTTATCACTGAACTTTATCTTTTTCTTCCAGGATGATGCTGATGTGGAATGGAAATTTGCAAGAGCAAAACTATGGTTCTCCTATTTTGAGGAGGGCAGAACACTCCCAGTACCTTTCAATTTAGTGCCTAGCCCTAAATCTCTGCTTTACCTCTCACTCAGAATAAAGAGACTGATATATAAATTATTAATGTGCCATAAAAAGGGTTTTCAGGAAGATGCTGAGATGAATCAGGTAACTCCATTATAAACACACAAAAAATATTTAAATTGTAAATAAAAGTATATGATGCTTGATTTAAGGTGGGGTAGGGGAAATCAGTGCAAGGCAGGGTAGAGAAATCAGTGACAGCCCTACATTTCTTAGTACAACGGTTGCTGTCTTTTGGATTTCACTTAGAAATGGCCTAAAGCAGGGGTAGGCAACCTTTCCCCTTTAAGGGCCGAGGGACTTCAGCTCCCAGAATCCCAGGAGCTATTGGCCAACATGGGACTATTGGCCAACATGGCTGAGGCTTCTGGGAGCTGAAGTCTCTCGGCCCTTAAAGGGGAAAGGTTGCCTACCCCTGGCCTAAAGTATCAATAGGATGGTAGGAGCTGAATGTATACATACTGAAGAACACCAGCTTAGTTATCTTCTGGCACGGGAATCTTGGAAAGTGTAATTCATTTTTCATACTATCACAAAGCCTAGAAATTGAATTGATCTAGTTGCAGCCAGGGATATCACTAGAGGGGTGCAGGAAGTGTGGACCACATCAGTTGAAATCCTAAGGGAGGTGACACTGCTTCCCAAACATCTGTCTGTGGGCAGAAAAGAGCTGTGGCATTTGTCTGTGTCCCTTTAAAATGCTGAAGAGATGGCGTGTATGGCGTCTACATGATACCCAGTAGGCCAGTGCTTCATGCTGACTAGTTGTGCTACCATACAATCTTACGGTCCCCTGGAGGATATCCTAGAACTCATATGATAAATCACATCTCAACTCCAGGACAAAGAGTCAGATTCACCCTAACAACCCCCTTGTTGCAATAGCTCCACTGGCTGCCAATCTATTTCCAGATGCAATTCAGACTGCTCATGATGACATATAAAGAAAGGCTCAGGTCCAGGTTATAGAAGAACCATATTCTCCCATAGAAACCTGCCTGTGTTTTGAGATCTTCTGAAGAGGCCCTTCTCTCTGTCTCACTGCTCTCACAGATACCTCTGGTGGGAACATGGGAGAGGGCTTCCTCTGTGGTTGCTTTCAGGCTCTGGAGCTCCCTTCCTGGAGAGGTAGACTGGCATCTTCTTTACTATCCTGTGTGTGTGTGTGTGTGTGTTATGTACCTTCAAGTTGTTTCTGACTTATGGCGACTCTAAAGGCAACCTTATCATGGGGTTTTCTTCCCATGATTTATTCAGAGGAGGATTGCCATTGTCTTCCCTGAGACTGAGAGCATGTGATTTGCCCAAGATCATTCAGTGGGTTTCATGGCAGAGTGGGGAATCGAATCCTGGTCTCCTGGTCATTGTCCAACACTCAAACCACTATGCCCTTTTGTAGGCAAGGGAAAAGCTTTTTGTTTTGGCAGGTCTGGGAAGGGCCTTTCATGTGCTATGTTTATATTTGCTGTTCTTTTAAATGGATTGCTTTTAACCACTTGCAGTTTTATTGATAGTTTAATTATATTTTAAACTTTTGTATGAGGGAAAAAATAGCTATTTCTGTTTTACCTTTTGTAAGCTGACTTGAGTCCAAGACTAAGAAAAAGGCAGGGTGTGATGGTGAGGGGGAGACCTGATCACAGACCTTCTTTCCCAGATGCCACATCTTTGGCTGGCCTTTGACAGAACTCCATCAGGGAGGTGGAAAAGAGTTGTACTGGACATGGCAATGAATGTGCTGGTCAAAGCTGTGGACACAAAGGAGCCACAACTCTGTTGGTCTCCAGACCCAACACTGAATCATCTCCTAATTTATGACAGCCCCAGCATTAATGTAAATCAACCCTTTTGAGCAGAGCTGTTGAGGATAGGGTGGCTTGGAGATTCACAGGGTTGCCATGAGTTGAGATTGACTTGAAGGCAGTTAACAACTACAAAGTGAAAGATTGGGAACAAAGCGAAGAGTGAATTCTCTGTTCTGTCATCACGTCAGCTCTAACAGCATAAGCCTGGTAGGGCTTCATGAATCTCATATGGTTTGGCTTGCCCTGCCTGTTTTAAATTGGAATGTGCATTCAGCTGAGAATAATGTAGTGCTGACAGACCTCTACGTTTGGCTAGGTATTCATCCTGATGAGCATTCAGCCTGCCATCCCTACTAACCTGAGCAACAGCTTGTGCGTGCAGCTGCCAGTGATTTCCCATGATGGAAAATAAAATAAGATAGAATCAGACATAAAAAGGCTCAGAGTAATTTTCCACATCAGCAGGACAACAATATTGACTAAGGGTCTATACAGCAGGCCCCTAAGGAGTGGCTCCATGCTGCACCTGGGAGCACTGGATCGGGGCTGCGACAACTGAACGCCATGCTCCAAATAGAGCTGGCAAATGCCGCTCCTTTTTGGAGTGGCAAAAAACCACCCTTACTGCCACAGTGCCGGCTCTTCTGCACTCCTTTGGCACAGTGTATATTACGTTGCACCAAGAGAGTGCCCTGATGCCACATGCCATGCAGTGGGGGCATGGTGTGGAGTGACAGTGGCATCGAGACAGAGTCAGGGCAGCTAGTGTGCGGTCACCATGCCCCAACTCCTTCCTCAGGCCAGCCCTTTTGGCCGGTCTGTACAGGCCCTAAGAAAGTAAAAATTGGTCATTTAGAAAAGCATACCTCATACCAGTGTTACTATTGGTTATTTCATATCTGCAAGTGATGGGGTACAGCAGGAAACTATAAATAGATCTGGTTGGAGAGTATGTGATAACTGGCTCAGTCTTTGGCTAGTGATATTGTTGTAGAAATGGGGTGAGATGAAGGTTGAAAGGGAAGCATGCAGCGTGAGAGTGCTTTCTCTGCTGCCTTTTCCACCTTCAGGGGTGAAATTAAAGCCAGCAGATAGGAATGAGAATGTGTTTGTATAATGACAGTTGTATAATGAATGGGAATGTGCTTGAATAGTTCTAGATCTTCACAGAGACTTCTTACCAGCTGATTTAATTTGGTTTATTCCTGTGTGTAAAATGAATGGCTATTACTTACCTATCATCCCAGAGAATTGGCAATGAAGTACATTGCTCCAGAAACATTGCTTTGAGTCAGCTTTCAGACCCTGTTGAAAGAATCAAAAGTAGTTGGGAAATAAGTGCATTCTGCCACCAAGTGGTCATATAGGTATAGTATTCTAAGGGCTTGTTTTTACAAAAATGATTATCACAAACAAACCCAAAGACATTGTTCTGTGACAAGATTACCTGTGCAAATAACTATTTACATAAATAGTCTACTTATGTTATCAGTGTGTTCTGAAAAGAGATAAGAAATGGAAAATATTCCATGTTTGCAAAGATCTTTAAACTGCAATGCAAAAATCTTAAGGCATTTCTTCAGTCGCTTGGGACCAACTGGAAACCTCTCCTTTTGAATGACTGTAGTGATATGCATCAGTTTGTTGTTGTTGTGTGCCTTCAAGTTGTTTTTGACTTATGGTGGCCCTAAGACAAACCTGTCCTGTGGTTTTCTTGGCAAAATTTGTTCAGGGCAGTTTGTCATTGTCTTCCTAGGAGGCTTGAGAGAATGTGACATGTCCAAGGTACCTCAGTGGCTTTCCATGGCTGAGCAGTGATTTGAACGCCGATCTTTAGAGTTGTAGTCCAACATTTAAACCACTATACCATGCTGGCTGACTATAAGAAACAGTACCCTGCTATTTCATCTCTGTTTCACTGCCAACAGTTTCCTTTAATTTGAAGAGATTCAGGCCCATTTGTTACATTACAGGAAGAAGCATGATTGCAGCTGTCCTGTGTCACCCTTCCATGTCTGTCCAGTACTTCTCCAGTAAGCCTGATTCAGCATAGCCAAAGTCAGGGGAGTATGGGAAACACAGTCCAAAAACATATGGAGGGTCACAGGTTTTCATCCACACTTTGTAGGCTAATACCAGTATTTTTAATTGGACTCAGAAATGGATGGGAAGCCAGTGTGTAGATGAAAAACCACTAGATTAATAATATGAGCATATTGTCTGGCACAAATTAAGTGTCTTGTGCTGCCCTGTTTTGGCAACTGGATTTGAGGGGACATTTTCAAAAAGAGATCCTATCTACATGCAGTTATCTAGCTGGGAGCTTAGGCATGCATGGACTTCTATAGCAAGACTACAGATTTATGCCTCTATTGACAAGGTTTAATCCAAGAGCACTGCAAGCCTGATTCTTTAGGAGATGACTGTTAAGTAGACATACTCATAGAGATAGTATTATTGCAGTGACAGCTACTTTGCATGTCACTTTGTTCCTACCTTGTATATATTTGAACTCTACACAGAAATTTCATAGCCTCTTGGCCCCACTGTTTAGAATTATTCTATTTACATAACTCTTGCTTGAGGATAAGGCTTCATGCATCTGAGCAAGTGTGTCCTGTACCATAAAAGCTTGCACTGCAATAAATCTGCTACTACTTTAGGCACTACAACTCTCTTGGTTCCTTTGACTGCAACAAACTACTTACTCATGCTGAGCATTCCCCATCCTTGTAACACTGTCAACCATCCACCAGGTAATGTGTCTCTTGGTGATTTGAGTTTTGAGCTCTGATCCCAACATGAAGCAGATCTAGACCCTCACAATATGGTGGTAAGGAACAGAGGCAGTTAAAACTGAAAATGCTTGCCAATATTCCCATAAAGAAAGAATTATTCACCCATAATAATGGTGGAACCCATTTTCTATGACAAATACGATGTTCATTGTGGTTCTTTTTGTACTAAGAAGTGATAATTGAAGATGACCAAGATTTCAGCCATTCCATTCCACTCATCTGGATTTTAGTTGATTTGCATTCCAAGATATTTCCAGTCTCATTAACATCCTGTGACATGGTCAGGTTGCAATGGATTGTTTAGGTTTAGGTTTTCTTGGGGTTTAGGATTCTTTAGGTTTCCTCACAAAGATCTTTTCATATCTCTGAAAATGGTGGGTTTTCACCAAGCCTACTGATATTTTCCTTTTTTATCTGAATACTGCTATTTTGGCTACATAATCAATGATACTCACAGGCCAAACAGTGGAAATAGAAAGCGTAACATTTAAAATATTCTACTGAAATATGTGTAGGAAGGTGAAAATAAGAGAAAGAAGTAGGGTTTATCTATCAATCCTTGATTCTTAGCAATGTTTTCTTTCTATGTTTCAGTTGAATCAACGTAAACAGTCAAGTATAAGAAGCATAGATGACATCAATTTAAACAGTTTAAGTAATCCACAAAGGAAGTACCAGGTAGGATCTAAATTCTAACAGTGAATAGCTATCATGAAATTAGAAGCCAAATGCAAACACATTGTTCATAAGCCAAACTCAGTGGGCAATGAATTGCATGCAGACGCCTATGCTTTATTTGTTTCAGGTATGTTGCTCTTGAAGTGTAAGACTACAAAAATATAAAGGTTATTTTTCATATTTAGCAATAAAGACTGAAGAAAGCAAGGAAACTCAATTGCTACAAGATTTCTTTATTTTTATTTTTATTTTTTGCTTTTTGGAGTTTATTTGCAAAAAGTTTGTTTGTGTGAAAACCTTGGAATTTTTGAAGAGATGGAAAGAATATATTGTTATTCATTCCCAGGGTTTAAAAATGGGTTTCCCAATAGTTGAGAAGTCAAACTGGAAAGAATACTAGACCATCAAGAATCTTGTGATTGTTTCTCACAGTATTTTATTGTCCCAGCATGTTTGGAAGGAATTGATCTTTGTAGAAAAACATGTTGGTTTTTGTGAACAGATGTGAATTGCACCGAAACAGCACCGAAACAGCACCGAAAAAGCCCACAACTTGGTTCCGATACGTGGATGACACTTTCACCATTTGGAGCCATGGAGAAGAAGATCTGGTTGGGTTCCTGAATCACCTGAACAACATCCACCCCAACATCCAGTTCACTATGGAAAAAGAAAAGGAAGAAACACTGCCATTCCTAGATGTCCTAGACATCCGCAAACCTAACCAACTTCTGGGACACACAGTATACAGAAAACCCACACATACGGACAGATACCT